GCAGAGTAAACTACAGAACCACTTGATGAATACAGATGGCTTAATTGCAATGCACAAGGCCCATAGACGAGAGAGTCCCATTGAGTGAAAGTGTGATTTGAACGGTGTTGTGAAATGAGCTTGATGTTGTCCTATGAGGCCTACAAAGAGGTTTTTCAGTGTTTACTCAGTGTTGGCCACAGCAAAGACAACACTGCTGAAACTGGCACTCATTTAGGACTTTAATTAAGACTAATCGTGCTTTCAAATGCAGTGATACGGTGCAGCCTTCATTTACGGGAACCTCATTTTTCAGAAACCTGTCTTCAGTGGTACATGTGAGACCGAATGTACACACTATTCATGGAGGAATGCTGTGGAGTAGTGAATGAAAGATCATGATGTCTTTTTAAAATTTAAATAACTGCACCGCAGTCATTTTATATTACACTACTTTTGTTTTTTCTCACACTCTCTCTTGTCCGTCTATTGTGTATTTGTTATTTCCTTTCAGGGCGAAGCAACAAATAATTGTCGTCTTTCGGCTTCTCCGATTAGGGGTCAGCACAACAGATCATCCGTCTCCATTTTTCTCTGTGCTCTACACCACCCACCTGCATGTCCTGCATCACCACAGCCATTAACCTCCTCTTTAGTCTTTCTTTTCTACTCCCAGCTGCTCAATCCTAGACACTCTACTCCCAACATACTCCACATCCCTCCTCTGCACATGCCCAAACCATCTTAATCTCACCTCTCTCACCTTGTCTCCAAACTGTCCTTCCTATGCTGTTCCTCTTATATGTGCATTTCTAATCCTGTTCATCCATGTCACTCCCAGCGAAAATCGCAGCATCTTTGAGCTGCCTCCTGTCTTTTTGTCAGTGTCATTGGCTCCAACCCATTCAACATAGCTGGCCTCACTAAAATGTTGTGAACTTTCCCTTTCACACTTGTACCCTTCTTTCACAAATCACTCCTGATTCGCTTCCACCCACTCCTCCCTTCTTGCACACGCTTCACTTCTCTGTTACTTTGGAAAATGACCATGAGTATTTAAACTCCTTCACATTCAACACACACAAAAAAACAACAACAATTGAATGTTGTAATAATTTAATGTTTGTTAGACAGCGCTGCTCGGTCTGTTGTTTTTCATATGTGAAAATGCAAGATGACCTTATTTGAATCTTACTTTACACAAAATATTCAATTCAAATTTATTTGCATAGCACTTTTCGCAATACACATTATTTCAAAGCAGCTAGTTAAAAAATACAGTTAGTTAATCATCTATTAATTTAGGGCATAACATCGCCGGCGTTGAGTCGTCTCTTCACAGGCGTTTAGTCATCTCATCGCAGGTGTTGGGGCATCTGAAGCCTTCGTGAGAGGCTGGATGCAAACTAGCAAAAAAAGCAGATGGGGAAAAAATGAGCAAAGCTGCTGTTCATAATATTAATGCATTCGATCACATTCACAGTAGTATAAAAGGTAAGCATTATGTGAATGCTCGACTAAAGAGATGCGTCTTTAATCTAGTTTCAAACTGGGACAGCGAGTCTGAGCCTCGAACAATATCAGGAAGGCTATTCCAGAGTTTAGGAGATAAATGTCAACGCCCTCTCTCCTTTAGTGGACTTGGATATCATAGGAATGACCAGAAGCCTTGAATTTATTGACGCAATGGATTGCAGGGCGATAGATGGTCCATTAAATACACAGGCTTTATAGGTCAGTAGTAATACTTTGTAATTGATACAGAACTTAATAGGTAACCAGTGGAGAGATGATTAAATTGGTGTTTTTTGATCATGTTTTCTTGACCTAGTTAGAACTCTAACAGCTGCATTTTGCACTAGCTGTTGCTTGTTTGAGGATGCAGGACAACCAGCTAATAAAGCATTACAGTAATCTTGAGGTCATGAGTGCATGAACTGACTTTTCTGTATTAAAAACAGATAGCATGTTACGTAGCTTAGCAATGTTTCTAAGGTGGAAAAAGGCTGTTCTTGTAACATATGAAATATAATTTTTTAAAGGCAAGTTGCGGTCTAGTACACACAAGGAGACTTTTTTTAAAAAAACAAAAACAATATTGACTGCTGTTTTCCATCCAAAAGTTAGCAACCACATCTGTTAAGTTCCAAAAATGAGAGGCCCCAAAAAAGAAATGACCAAAAATTTGGTCCATAAATCTTGTGTTGTATGCTTTGTTTTCTGAAGTTATACTTTACCTTATTTACTCAAGAACTGTGATATCCAGATTGAGTCAGTACATTGAACCCATGAACTGGATCAGTGAATGAATGGTTCTTTTTTAACTTTAGATCTGATTCTGAATAATGGTTTAAATGGTGTGTGTTTCTTAGACAAAGCTTTCAAATAGCTTCTGAAAAGTCATATGTGGACTGCTTTTATGATTCCTAATGGTGATTGTTATATTTTTTTTCTTCTAGCTTTTAGCTTCTAGCCTTTTTCTACTTGTGGTCTTTATGACTTGTTCTATGGAAAAGAGCGGTGTGTAGATTCTGCAAAAATTTATTTCACAAAATATACGATGGCAAATTTGTATTGAGATAAAAGTAAATAATGAGAGAATGCTAATTTTCACAATATCACACACAAATCTGAGAAATATAATCCCCAGCCACTTGTGATGGTCTCACCTTTTTTTTTTATCTCTCATGCACTAGCGTCCCTGTAGACACATCTTCATGGGTTAGTTAAAAGCATGGGCTTAATTTAACCGCCAGTTTAAGTTTTCTTCGTGTTGGATATGATCTGCTCTGAACGCTTCTCAAGGTCTCCACTTAGTCAAAACAACTGTTAATTGACAGGCAGAACGACCCTGAACAGTCCTTGAATAAAACATGAGAGGGAGGTTGGAAGTTGTGCAAGATCAAGTGGGAATTTAGAGGAAAGTGAAAGAGAGAGATATGCAGACTTGTAGCTCTCCTTACAGTTTGTATTTTAGGCTTCTTGCTGATCTTAGGCTTTAATTGTCTACATTTTTCTACATTTAAAGGGGGTTTAACAATCAGTCTAATCAGCCACCAGCCTTCGGTTTGTTGGAAACATAGAGGAAAGACTGCATTGTGGTAATTCAAAATCTGTTGTGGGCACAGCGTGACATGGAAAGATTGAAAGCAGAGAACAAAATGAAATTGACTTCTTTTCATTGCCTTGGCGCCCTCTTGGGCTTCTGCTTTTTAGGCGGAGAACACCGAACAAAAATCATGTCTTGATGGCAGCCTACAACAACATTTGACAATCAGACGAACTCCAGAGGGCGTCTACTGCTTCTGTGTTCATAAACTCTGTGCCAAACCCTAGTGAGCTGCCTATGCGGCAGCATTTTAAGGCATGCTCTCCTATGCTAAGGCCATTTTTTTCAACAGTAGGCAACCACAATATATCTTGTTTTGGCCAAATTCAACCCAATATTTTTATACTTGGAGTTGTTGGCATAGCAACATGCTAAAGTCAAACTCATTTGGAATGAATTGTCACATTACTTACTTTCCTATGCATTTCACGCTATTCAGGGGACATTCCTAATTGGAAATTTGAGGTTCCATCTAAGAACAGGATTTGTTCATATCTCTTTGTGGTCTGGCCATCTCACTGTACTTTCAATGTCTTGTGGCATGATTACTGAATTTAAGTATGTTTGAATAATTCATTTTCTGATGCATATCACATTTGGACAAATCAGATATATTTGTTTTAAATATACAACCTAAACAAATGGCAACACATCAGTTACATTTGAAAAATCATTACTTTCAAAGGGACAATGGCAAATGCTTCCTTGCAGTAAAAAAAACAACAACCTTCTAACCATTCTAAAATGTATACACTTAAGTGTACAAGTGCATAGTACATTTATTTGGGATGCAACTTTTTTTCTTGCATGACCGGCCCAATGTATTCTTCAATTTTGGCCTGAAAACTTGACATATGCGTACAGCCAAAAGTATACTCCATTCGGTAGAGTGTACACACACGTGCAAATTATTAAGTTTCATCTTTGTCCTGTGGCAGGGCTATTTCTTTTCAGAAAGTTATGAAATTTAAAAAGTTAAGACATTTTGTTTATCAGAGTTGTTAGAATCTCTAATTTCCTTCACTCGGGTGCTTATAATATACAATGATGAAATTTACACTTACGCATACACATACCCTAGGATGTGTGTAAAAGCCAAAGTATCATTTGGGCTTCAGGAGGCAACATTCTATAGGCTACTGCAAGCTGTAGACATTAATGCAGCTCACTAGCTTTTGGAGCAGAACTATAATTTAATTAGTTTGCCTTTCATGCACCTTATCATCCTTGTCACAAGTGTTCTGCTTTTTGGAGGAAGTATTCCTCCAAGTGGTAATGTTTGAAGACATGTCTAAATGTGGAGTGGCTCGGAGCTGAATCTCAGCCAGCCGTTTAATGGATGTGAGAGAAAGCACGCCTAGAGCCTCAGTTGAGACAAAGACACGCTTAGAGACGCAGACACACACTGTGTCCATTCATCTTTCCCCAGTAGGAGGAAAAAAAGAAAAACACACACGCATAGAGTGAAGATACATTGACAGTGTGCTGCTAGCCAATGACCTGAAAGGAAATGACAACACAGCAGACACAGTCACGGTCACTGTGGGGGCTTTTGGGTAACAGGACATCTCTGATGCAATGTTTCATCTTATACATCAAAGGCCTTTGTGCATCCCTGTATTCAACCCTGTTAAAATGTGTTGTTCGTTATCAGACCAAACAGCTTTTTTGGCTTTCAAGTTACTACATTTTGCATCAAAAAATGCAGTTGTTTCCTTCAGACATTTTTAAAAGGTTTACGAGTCATGAAAAATAGACAGCTATAGATTAAGAAATAAGAAATAGATTAAGATTATAGATTAAGAAAGAAAGAAAAAGAAGAAGATAAATTAATCATTCTGTAATGCAGATATCCACCATACTTTTTTGTGTTTGTAGGCAAGGCTAACTTCTCGTCATTTCTGTGTCCCAGATGATGAAACATGCGTGGGACAGCTACAGGCAATATGGCTGGGGCCACAACGAGCTCAAACCCCTCGCCAAGAAAGGACATTCCACTAATATCTTCGGTAAGTAAGGATGCATGTTGGAGTCTCATTTACATGTAAATGACTGCTCTTGCCGGATGATTTGGTTTATTGTGGTAAGGGCAGACACACACAATTCCATCTACATCCACTTTTGTATCGTTTATAACTCGCACCCTCAAACGATAAGACGTGTTTGCGCAGATCGCATTCCCTAATCATTTCTCTGTTTGTTTGGGTGTGTTTTTTTATCACTGGCTCTCAGTTCTAGAGCTAAGGAAGATTCAACTAGTGGGACTGAATCGGATCTGTGTATACATGTGAGCATACCTGAACAAAGATCATGAAAAAAACACAATTCATCCTGTTTGCTTCTTACTCTGCTGCTATGTAACCAAGGCCATCTGTGCAGGAAAAGAGGTTATTAATAGTTCTGACACTATGCTGATAGGAAGAGCTGCATTGAAAGACCTGTTCTTTCTTTGCACATTCTTAAAGGGTTAGTTCACACCCAAATGAAAATTATGTCATTAATGACTCCACCCTCATGTCATCCTAAGCCCGTAAGACCTCCGTTCATCTTCAGAACACAGTTTAAGATATTTTCGATTTAATAAGAGAGCTTTCTGTCCCTTCATTGAAAATGTATGTCTGGTATACTGTCCTTGTCCAGAAAGGAAATAAAGACATCATCAAAGTAGTCCATGTGACATCAGTGGGTTAGTTACAAGGTTTTGAAGCATCGAAAATACATTCAGCATTGTATTGTCTTCCGGTTCTGTTGTCAATCTGCTTTCACGAGTACGCAGTGACGCTGCTGACGTGTTATCTGGTGCGCCAAGCTTCGTTCACAGTCTGAGGGAGACGCACGCTGTAAACAAAACAATCTTCGCAAACATGTGTAAGGATTTCGACACAGAGGAAGATTTGCATTTTTTTTGCCCAGCCATATTTATTTGAACCCGAATACACGGACGCACCAGATGCACGTCAGCAGCGTCTTATGTCATCAGCGTTACTGCGGACTCGTGAACGCGGATTGACAACAGAACCGGAAGACAATAAAGTCTAAATAAAGTCGTAGTCTTTGTTATTTTTGGACCAAAATGTATTTCCGATGCTTCAAAACATTCTAACTAACCCACTGGTGCCACATGGACTACTTTGATGTCTTTATTTCCTTTTTGGATAAGGACAATGTACCGTACATACATTTTCAATGGAGGGACAGAAAAAGTTTAGAAGACTAAATCTAAAATATCTTAAACTGTTTCCGAAGATGAACAGAGGTCTTTCGGGCTTGGAACGACATGAGGGTGAGTCATTAATGACGTAATTTTCGCCAGATGTTGCTGATAGGACCATGTCATATATTATACATTTTACAATTTTTAATATATAAATGTAAATTAATTAAATCTATGCATTCATTTTAAATATATAATGTGTTTATATTTAATGAAATATGTATTGATACCATTACTTAAATGTTTTGTCAGTGCCATTTAATATTGTCTTATTTAGCCTTGCAAATCGACCTTAGTCTTTCTCTGAAATCTGCCAAGATGTTGGATGAGGTTTTATTTGTTGTTTTTCTGAGAGACCAATGAGACTCATGAGGCAGTGCTGCATTTTAAACAAAATAAGAGTGAGCTCTTGAAGAAGAACTAAGATTTGAGGTGGAGAGGGAGTGTGCAAGAACAAAGGAGCGCCTCATGCTGCAGTGCGGTGTGCTGAAGTGTCTTTCACATTTCACTTTCATATTTAATAAGTCTGTTTCTATCCTCACATGTGGATTGAACTCCTCAGCCGGGCATGTATTGATCAGCGTACTTGGGTATATTTTGGAGAGAGACTGATGTAACACTTTTGGATGACTTTGCTCTTCTTTCCCAGAAGTTTCTCTCCCATCTTTTTGTAGAACACGGTGTGCTTTGTTTCATCTGAACTCCTGTCAGAGAAGAGAGACATACTGTTTTTATAAGTTCTGTGGCTCTCATGCCATTGGTTTAGCCAATGTTGCTGTGTCTGCCTGGTCGGGATCTTTTGATTTACTTTATCCCATCTAAATGTAATGGTGTTGGTTCACATACTCAGATGAAAATCAAATGAGGAGGAAATTGAAATAAAAAATTGTGTGTGCACGTAAGAAATAATTGACGACAGGCTGGTAAATTTATTCGAAAAATAGTGCACACCTGAAGTGGTAATGCAACCACATCGTGAAGCATGCACTATTTTTCGAATAATTAAATGGCCCGGATTAATTTATTCTGCTTTTGCTATGGTTACTCCTCAACTTTGTTTAAAAGGACAAAAACCTGACAAATGTATTGAAATAAAACATCTGAACAGTCTTGCGCATATATACTAATTTCTCACTCATCCCAAGACTCCATTGCTAATTACAAAATACTGTATCTTTTTAGTTCTAGTGGTGAAAGCTTGAGCCATTGGTATGCAGACCAATGCAGTCATTATAGTGAGTGAAAGAGATTGATTAATTAATAGTGAAAATGTAAGTTTAACTGTTTCAAGAACAGTGACTTTACTACCTTGTTACTGAAAAAATGCCATGTAGCCTTTCAGCTGCTGGACTGTTTGACTGATAATGTGGCTGGCAAGTTTCTCTGCATGTCTGTTTGCATGTGTCCGTATGTGGAACGTCTTTAGGATTCTATACTGTTAAATAATTGCACACCTTTTGTTAACCAATTAGAATCAAGTATTTTAACAGTGTGTATATGTGTATATATTATACAGTGGATAATTGTAACAAGGTTCAGGGAAGAAGGAGGCAGGAACCGGATAATATTCAAAAATAAACCTTTATTTAAACAAAATAAACAAACAAATTACCTGCCAGCAGCCCCTCACGGACGACTGCTGGCTACCGAAAATAAAATGTAAAATACCGGCCAGCAGCCCCTAGCGGACGACTGCTGGCTTACCAAATAAAATATAAAATACAAACAAAAGCCGGCCTGTTCCTCTCTCGATCATCCACTCCGTCGCTCCCCCTTCATGCCTCCGCTCCTTCGTCTCATTAGCAATCGCACCACCAGCCTCGCGACTTTCTCTCACGTCCCTCGGCCATCCTGCTCACCACATACCCCCATCACCCCTCACAGGCCGGGGGGTACACCCGAGACTGTGCATACTATCTCCCCGGCGGCGGCGATCCCTGGGGGGTATGGATCGACGAGCCAAGAGAAACGGAAACGGAAGCCTGAGGAGCGACGGACACGAGAGAGGGGAGAGAGGAAAAAATAAAAAAATAGTCCGGCTCCCACAACGCGCTGCCATCTTGTCCCTCACCAGCTGGGCGATCTCCTCCGCGGTGCCCGGCGGCGACGCTGGATGGCCCTCGGTGAACGCCTCGACGCTCCCCCGCCCCCGGTGGACGGCGACGGCTCCTTGGGTGCCTCGGGCAGACGGCAGGAGTCCCCCGCTCCCTGCTCCTCCCCTTCACTGGCGGATGGCAGCAGGCTCCGGCCCACGGCAAGCGGCGGTAACTCCTCCTCTCCCTCCCGAACGGCAGCCGCCCCTCCATTTTCCAGGCGGTCGGCGGCGAGCTCGGGCGTCCCACCGGCAACTCATCCCAGCGCCCCGCCTCGAGCGTCCATGGCCGCGAGTCCCCCGCTCCCTGCTCCTCCCCTTCTGCGGCGGACGGCAGCAGGCTCCGGCTCACGGCGACTCACGCACGATGCTCGATGGCACCGCGGATTCCCCACAGCGGCGAGGACCCTCGGACAGCGCGTTCCTCCCTCTTCCCGGGTTTCGGCACCAGTGTAACAAGGTTCAGGGAAGAAGGAAACAAAACGAAATTCTGACCCATTTCATGTCTCCCGATATATTGTGTATCCATCTTACTCATCTTACTTTTTCATAATCAACATAGATGGGGAAAATAACATTATAATGTTTTAACAAATATGAAACTAAATGCACTTATTTAATGGCTACAACACATGTTGTAGGCCTACAGACTATCTATTTGTACAAATTGCTGCACATTTATTAAATTCTGAATTTTTCACATGAGTTGAAAGGCATTTGTTTGCATGCAGAGTAAAACATATCTGCAACATTTATCAAGTTCACGGATAGTGTGTGCATTTATTAATCACTATGATACTAAAATCATAATAAAGTAGTGTGTACAAATAAAATCAGATGAGCCCAGAATATGAACACCGTGTGTTTAATTACACGTTAAGCAGTTTCCTCCCTTAGAAAACCATTGTACGAATGCTTAATGCAGATAATTTTTTTTTTAAGAAGTATCGAGTAACGAGTTGCACTACTTTTTAAAAAGTAACTTCCCCAACACTGACTATACCTATAAAAGACAGGGTAGTCACAAGTGAAATACTTTTTTGCACAATTGAAATACTTGGGACATAACAGTAGGCTCTTTTCTGTTTAAAACTTGTTTAAGAATACTGTTCATTTGTGATTCCACACTAAGGCTTGACCTCTTGATTGTATATCTGATGTGTTGGTCAAAAGGACTCTGACCATTCCAGTGGCTTACTGTTGCGGTAGGACAGGGACTCGCCCATATCGATCCACTGATAGACATACATTGATTAATTTTTTGTGTGTGTGAAAACATTTGAACCATGAAAGCTTGAGACTGCTGCTTGAAGGCACTCTCTGGACTGATTGCTGATGGTATGCGCTTTGATCTGTAAACAAGCACACTGTTTGCAGGGAATATTCTCAGTCCAGACCCCAGGGTCAGATTGCGTAACCCAACTGCCACCGCTACGCATACGATAACACAATTCTATAAATAACCACACGTCAACGTGTGCTCACACGGCGGTGTGAGTGCCTGCTTTTCTGTTTCTGATGTATTACGATTTAATGTTTAATGTGCAGTGGATTTACAGTAACATTCTGTAGATCTGTAGAAGTCTGTAAAAAAATGTATGTACTTGATGACAATGTTTTTTAAGTCTCTTGTGCAGGTATTTGATAAAAATATAGTAAAAACAGTAATGTTGCAAAATATTATTGCAATTTAAAATAGAGGT